ACTACGAACACCATGTAGTTATGACATATCCGTGATACTCATGCGTTACCAATCGTGATGACTAAGATGTCATGCCTCCGTGTTTTAGAAATTCCACTGCCTTATGTCACCCTTTTAATGGAATTTGAGCTCTATTCTTAGCACATCACGGTTAAAATCGGAACAGTTTGCTTGGCGGCAAAAATAACTCAAATTTCCCTCCATGTATACATAACTTCACAGTCAACGAGAGGAAGCCATAATTCACAAGTATACAGAACAAATTAACACCAGCACCATTATTTGATCCATACTGACCTCCACAACTGTATTGAATATTTGAATATTCAATACAATATCTACACATTTCCTATAGGAACTATAGTGCAAATGAATCGATTTAGTGTCGAAAGCATTCTGACTTATATATTTTTTCATTTACGAACAATATGTTCAGATAATAGTTGATTTTTAATTATTCGAGTTTTGTACATGTGATTCATAGTCAGGTCTTAACAATAGAATGACGCGCCACTAAACAAATTTCATGCATCACCAACAAATCTCGTCATAAATTATAAATAGTAAGAAATAAATTATTGTAATGCTTCCAAAGTATAAAAAGTAATAAATTTAAAAATTTATAAACCAATATATTTAATTATATAAATTGTAACTTGTTGGAGTTAAGTATGGCTATTCTATTTGACCTTTATTAAAATCAATAATCAAAGAGCTAAGGTTAGTTCTTTTAAAATGAGTATCTATATTCAATATACCATTTTACTGAATGAATCTTGTCTTTTGTTATCATCACATTATTTATGACACCGAACCATAAAGAAGGAATGACAAAATGTTTGAATCATACACATTACATAGTATAAAACAAAGTCTCCGCGGCTGTCTCTGTTCGCTTATATCTTTTAAATTACGCAACGGATTTTAATGCAGTTTTCAGCAATAGATAGAATGATTCAAGAGGATTGTTTATATGTATAATATATGCTTGTACTATAGAACAAGCCGAGAAATTAAAACATTAGTTGGGTCGTTCTTTTTAAATTTATATGACACGCAATTTAATTTAAAATAAAATATATATTGAGATTTGTTAATGATGCAATAAAATTAATATTTCATAGAAATAATATCTATATTTAATACTAACTAGTTCGAGAGTGCTTTTATATAATTACGCTATAATTGTAACGGTGGTGGACAGATGCTACAGCGTATATAATGTGCATTATTATACATGTGCTTGAGGTTAAATATATTTTTTAAGAGCCAATAATTCATTGATAATTTTCACAACCTTTTACCATTATAAATAATTTATTAATCTTATATTCGTATGTAATTTAAATAAAACAATATTATTTTTAACATTAAATTTTATCCCAAAAATATTTATGTAGATAAAAAAAATAAAAAAGTATATAAATATTATTTGTGTATATATGGTACATACTTAAATATATACATACAACTGTGAGCCAATAAAAATACTATGATCAACACTGATATAGCTTTACCTCGATTTGTACTGTACAGAAAAAACACAAGCTCATATATTGTCTATGCTATCTAATATATAAAAAACTTGCACTTTGTTTTACTTTACGAACCATGTAATAATATATTATATAGGCTTTTTTAGAAGAAAGAAAAGAAAGGTTAAGATTAATAATAGTAGGTGTTTACATATATTTGATATAACGAATTATTTAGCAATCTTTACGATAAATGAATATATATTCAAATTTCTCTATAACTATTACTGTCTAGACCGAGATAAATTAAAATTCCTTCATAAATAGTGTTTATTTTTATTTATATTAGTACTATTGTAAGTAAGACATCCGTCCACTACGATTACAGGTAACTTTATGTACTTTATACCTCTGATTTATCTCATAATGTTACTGAATCCAAGGCATTATTATGAAGTACTTATTTTTAAACTTTCGCGTTTAGTACGCATTACTAATATAATTAAACGGGTCTTAATATGAATAATTTTATGGTAAATAAAGGTATTTCGTTTATATATTTAGTAGTCAGCTCGGGATTACGGCTGGAATAACCTAGTTGAAATGTCTAGAGTAAATACTTTTATTTACCATAAAATGATTCGTGTCAAAACTCTTTTAACTATATTAATAATATCATAAAGCATATTTTATCTAAGGTTATTAACATGAAACTCAGTCGCGCACTATGCACTTTAAAACAAATTGACTAAAAAATAATAACATACGTAAATAATGTATCAGTTGAGTTTCTTCCCGGTTCTTCTCGACTAAAGTAGCTAGCCGAAATGAACGGTATTGATAAAAAATTATGACTTTTACAAGAGGCCGAAATGTTTTATATAATTAAATATGTTTTGATTTGATTTCTAATGTGATTAATTACTTCATTAACAGCATAAAAACTAATGCATTTTTTTTTATTATAAATGAAAGAGATTAAAAAAAGTTTTGATTATTGTTAAAAAAAATGCCTATTTATATTGTAATTATTCCAGTTTGTATAGGAAAATGAAATGGGTATTTTCACTACTTTCCATGCAATTACTTCATATTTTCTCACCACTTAAACCTTCTTTGCAGTTCAACGAACAAATATTTCAAAACCAAAATTAGCCAGTACGGTCCAGCCGTTCCCGAGTTTAAGCGAGTACAAACGTCATTTAATTTTCATATATAATATTTAATGATATAGTAAATATTAATAATACTTTATTTATACAATTGCATGTTTAATATTTCAGTATGAAATGTGCATAGGACGCGACATAGCTCAAATTGCATTAGTTCAACATATATATATATATATTTATTTGTTGATTAGGTAAGGCTTAGGCGTTGTACAAAATGTATAATAACTTGCTAAACGTCGAATATATAATACCGTCATTTAAATTGTATTATTATAACTATCTTTAGCTGATTAAATATGTGTTACATATGTATATATTACAAAGTGTGTTAAAGTTGGTATTGTAACGTATTTATAGTAATGTCATGATATTATGATTCCTATGAGGTTAGTCATAGAAATATACCGAAAAACAGTGATACAGTCGATATATTAATATATATACATTAGTGCTGGTAGTTTGTATTCACACGTTTCGACTTGTAAATGTGAACTTACAAGGATTATTTAAAATAGCAACACACAAGTTCCTTCCTCATTCTTCTTGTGATAAGACAGCTTTCTGAATGAGCGGTAGATAAAAAACAAATTGTTATAACTATTCAAAAGTGCTTAAATTCAGTTTATTTGAATAAATGATTTTCTATTCTATTCTATTATGGTACACGTGAAGGAGTGAGGGAGGGGAGGGAAAAATAACAGGGTAGGAGGGGGCAATAAAGTGTGACATTGTGTATTGGGGATGGAGTCTGAAAGTTGAAAGTTCATGATAAAGATGGAATCTAGAACACCTGTAATGTTCAACAGAGATACCTATATAAATACAATAAGTAATACTATGTCTTTCTTTAAAAAAAAACTTAATAAATTCAGTTGAGTTGCTTGCTATTTCTTCTCGATTGAATCTGTATACTGAACTGGAGGGTAGGGAAAATACAAAATTACAAAAAAATTTACGTTCATAAGCGGCTAAAATGTCCTACATGAATAAATGATATTTGATTTGATTGTATGTATAATAAAAATACATAATATCATTCCATTACTATGAATACATAATTCAACACACTTTACAAATCTTAACTCTTTGTAACCCCCGACGGAAAAAGCGGGGAGAGTTATAAGTCTAAACTGTATATAAATGAACAAGTTTTATTGTTAGAATTTTAACTTAAGTGACAAACGTGGATGAATAGTTGTTCATTCACAGGAATTTGATTAAATGTTATGGACACTTACATAAGTATCTAATGTAAATAAACTGGCTGTTAAAAAAATAAAATTCAATGGAGTTTATTGCCAGTTCTTCTCAATTGAATCTACACATATATACTGAACGGAAAAAATATTAATACAAAAACCATGACATACATAAGCGGCTAAAATGTTCTACTATTTAAATGATTTCTTAATTTTGATTTTTTTAAATTAAATTATATGTGATCGAGATGATTTACTGTAACTTAGATTTGTTCATACAGTTGATGACTTAACCGTTTTTTATTTATCGATTTGATTTCACTTACTTTTTACGTCGGGGGTTTTATTATAAACTTATAATTTAATTGTACTTATTATTGAACTTGTTTACTTGCTCTATTGAGATTGAAAGTATGTTTTGAAGCGATGATATAATTCTCGCAGCGGAATTGATAACAAAAAAAACTTATAATTGACAAAATTATACTAGATGTGAGGTAGAAAATGGACTTCGAATATAGAAATTTATAATTAGTGATAGGATAAATAATACAGTCTGAATGCATCGTCGCATTGTGGCGCCAGTGCTATGACTACATATTGACCTATAGTTTCAGTTTAACAACGAAACGCAAACCGAATTTCGTTTGGTTTTTATTATACAACTATCTAACCCGATCCACGTTATCCTATGTTAGTTAATACGCAAACTGTCAAACGCAAAGTCGAAATAGTTCTTAGTTTGTGATGTATTTTAATTGTTAGACAATTTCTAGAACCTTCTACAAAGTATTTGGGTCGTTAAATTTTCTAACATATTTTAAATGTCTGGACATATTTCGGTCTTTACGAACCTTCTAAGTATTTGAAAACTATAAAAGAGGTCGAAGGAAATGGCATCAGTCCTTCTCAAACATATTACTGACTTCGTGCTCCACAGGTAGCGTATACTGCCGACGGATGCATCATTCCATTATCAACCTTTAAACTTAAACGTATAAGGTACAGTTTTGAAGGTACGTTCGACATAGCACAGCAGTGGCACCCGTATGTGACAGTTTACCGGTAACACTAGGTACAAACAGTTGTTGCGTGGAGTGCGGCTCGCCGGCCCGACACTGAGGTCCCGGGCCAGGCGGGCCCCCGCGCCGGTTCTATGGGATGCGCACAGACTGTAGCACCTTGCTCGCCTGCAATAACACAACAACAATACGGTTAACACATAATGCTAAGCATCGTCCAAAAAGAGTTATTATTATTTTATAATATTTACCTCAAATTAGTATCTAATTATTATAATAAAGAAAAGTTAAAGAAATATTATTTTTATCGTTATTGGAAACAGTTTGAGTTAGTCTTTAAAAAGTCGTCTGCGTAAGTAAATCAGTTTCACATTTAGGCCACTAATAATGAAAAAATAATATACTACAAAGTATATAACGAACGTTGTTCGATTCCGGTGTACTGATTAGCGCATTTGACTTGCTACGCTTTGCCCTCATCTGATTTGCGTCATTTTATCCCAATGAAGCATCGAGTTCAGTTTTTGTCATTACAAAAAAATGAGTTAAAAACATAAATTGATATATAAAGACATTTCGGTGTTGGTGTGAGTTCGAGCTCACTCTGTCATGCTCCGCTGATGTTCTGTAGGCGTAGACATCTAACGTAAGCTTCTACACAATTCTAATATCTCCATTAACAGGTTTACGCCGGCGCGGGTCACCGGTAGCCCGCACTAAACTGTACGTACCACGCCACCCGCGGTACGCACCGCCGAATGAGACAGTCCAACTAGCGCATCGGATTGTTTAAAACGCATTAGATTGTGTTATTGTACAATTAATGAAAATTAAAATAATCAATAAGTCAAAAATCCCGTGGCGCCAAATGGAGCACGTCATCAATTTGAGCGCCACCTCATAGAAAAGTAATGGAATTGTGTCCCGGCGCGTTAGAGATCGTGACCTCGTAGTCGTGGTGGTGGGTGCAGACGCCGGTGACTGCCAGCAGCTGGTACTGTCGCGCGCGGAGCGCCGCCGCGCCGCGCCGCAGCAGCCGCAGGGCCCCGCCGCCCGCCGCCGCGCCGCCGCACACCGCCGCCCGCACCTGCCGGACACCACCACCACTGTGTACCAGCAGACATACGCCGCATGCGACACAACCACCCAACCCACGTTCCCATGTTCATGATCCCGACGATCTCATAACGGCAGTCGTTCTCCTTACGGGTCCACACAGGACACCGTCCTCGCCGGCGAAGACGGCGACCTCAACCACACAATACTGCGCAATCAACCGGGAACATGTGCGCGCCCGGCCGCTCGATATCCCGTTCAATTCAAGCGGGGATCGATATTAAAATGGCCTGAACCGGGGTTCTCTAGCGGTGCCCCCAGACGAAAGTCGTATCCGTTAGGCGGAAGTTGACCTTCAGTTGCTTCATAAGCCAGCTGCGGGCAACAGCATAAGAGTAGTCCGAAAAAAAAGTAATTGAATTAGGACAATGTTATTCTATATTTTAAATTATGTATATAAACTTAATATTTTCCTAGTCAAGGAGGTAATGTTTGGACTTTAAAAGAATTTTCGGGGCCGTAAAACTACTTTATAAAAAACCCATCCACAATACATTTTAAGATATACATATATATGTATAAGACATAACTTTATTGTCAATAATCTAAATAAATAAAGAATAAAATGGAATTAAAAGTAAAGATGTCACTATATAAATACAGGGGACGATACACTTACCTGCGCGGGAGAGTGCGAAGGATCTAACACCAGTAAAGTTGCTTTGCCATCTTTATGTTTTTCATACCCTATTATTGTTCGGGAATGACCTGCGAAATTACAATAATTCGTATATTAAAAAAGATTAAGGAAGAGCTTTGTAAGTAAAAAAAAATACAGTATACCTATTTAGTGGATTTTACTTGGCGTTATTTTTTTTAATCTAATATTTACTTAAGAGGAATAATGGACAAAATTGGAACAGCACTGAATAAATACTACATTAAGACTATGTTATCGGCCCTCAACAGTAATGATACATTTTCGTTCTCTAAAAGATAAGCTACCTTACGAAGCTCCAGGTGTCTATAAAATTTACTGCAGTTGTGGTAGCTATTATATTGGCCAAACAAAATTATCAATCGCAGCTGTTAAAAATCGTCAACCACTCTATATGTACATGTGTTTCATGTCTATTGAGGATTCTATATAGAAAGATATATTAAAGTTACTTTTTGCTTATTGCGTTGCAGAGGTGCGTACGACTCGTTGCAAACAAGAAGAGCCGCAATAGAAGTAGTACATGGAAAGTACGCAAGAGGCGCTGCAGTCGGGCTCGCTCGCACCGCCATTTGCCATAACGCGCGTTTATTTAAATTAAATACAGCAAGTACATCACATATAAAATTTTAAACATTTACGTGTCGTCTACAATATCATCTATTTTTTTTATAAATAGTTGTATGGTGGTGTACCTTGATGCTGCAGGTAGAGTGGAGCCTTAAACCCGTTGGGTTCGTTCTGGAAGTACCGCAGCACCCACTCGAACAGCGCGGGGTGGCTGCCGTCGGCGCCCGTCGGCTTGTGGAAGTCGATCAGTTGACATCTGTAGTAATAATGAATAAGCCAGGACAATTCATACAGCGCCATCTAGTCCCAAGGTAATATCCCATCTAGTACCAAAATGGTACGCGTTCAAGAGGAGAACTGAAAGAGTGTTGCTTGGCACCGAAGCTGTTCATGTTTTGTCCGATACCCCAGAAGGGGGTGAATGCGTACATACCCTCTGTACGTTTTCTCCCCTCTCTGGGGTAGGAAAACTAGGAGTACAAAATAATTTGTAGGGGTAAAGAATGCATGCTTTTCAGCGCGCAATCTTTGCAGATTCGGCTAGTATAACCGCGTGGTTGGTATGGCCAGGAGTTGGTACAGTTTTTTTTATTGACTGTTACCTCTTAGATAGACTTAGACTGATAACGTAGTAGGTACCTTATCCTAAGTGACGAGAGTACGGTGACCACTTCACAAGCTCCAATCCACTTTCTGGTGTTGTATAATTTAGACCCAAGTTGTTCCGAGCCCTGTAACAATAGGCATTGTAACAACCATAGAAGCTTTTTACCATACGTTCTTTAAATAAAAAAAAAATAAAATAAAGTGTAATGACATAAAAGAAATGTACTTATAATGAAATTACGTGATAACTGACGATAATGCACACGTTGAAAATGTCATCCATACATTTTTCGATATATTTTTTTATTCTACCACTCATTTGGAACGCAGATTGACAAGAAGAATGAGCAAGAAACTTGTGTATTGCTCTTTTGAATATATATTATTTAAAATAATTAATTACACAATAACAAGTGTTTGTATGAAGTACCTGCGTGTCGAAGCCCATCTTCCAGGCGCTCTCGACGAGAAGTTGAAGGCGGGGGATGGACGGTACACACTCGCATTCCACCACGCCTTCCAGCAGCGTCGCGTATTCAGGATTCTTCAGCAGTGATGACAACACCATCTGCATATTTCTGGCAACATTTTTTAAAATCAATGATAATGGAATGAAAGCTATAAAAAAAACTTGTATTCGCTAGTGGCATACGTGGGCGAAACAGAAACTTGCGCGTTGCTATTTTGAATAAATATTGTTCAGATTTACATTTTGAGTATCGAATTGTTATTGCTGGTTCAAAGTTTTTTTTGTATTTTTTATTAAGGTTGAATTTCGATTACTGGGCGACCATACTTGTAATTAAAAGGTAAAATTTCTTTCTTACCTGTATCCGCACCCCCATCCCCTGTCGCCGTATGTGCTTGCATAGTGGTCCACTCCGCTACATAAGTAAGTCTTCACTATACTTGGATTCTGAGCATTTAGATGAGCTATTCTTTCTAAAATTCCTGTAAAATAATAAATAACATATAAAATATTATATTATATTCTAGGATATTCTGTCATGTCATTTGTTAGATAGGTATTTATCACCATTAAAAGTAACGCAAGTTCTATTAGTCGAATTTTGTTTTTTGTTTCTGAGGATTGAGTGCACCCATTGCAAGGTCTATACCTAGTCTGGTTTTTCTACACACTGTTATTTATTTTTTTATATCCAGTAACAATTTACATTGTTTATGAAATTCTACCTTTTTATGTTATATCTATTCTATATTTTAAAAACACTGATGCAATAGAAAAGAACGCAACTTGCCCTTAAAAAGTTTCCAATTGTGTATTATTGTATTGAAACTGTTGGTCAAAGATCTAAAAAGCCTTTCTATCACGGAGGCCTTCATTAACCATCATCGTTGGCGATGGAATGGAACCGACTTCACTTTATTATACATTTTTTTAATAAGAATAGTAATAAGATGTGAAGCATAATAAGACAGGTATGAAGTCTATATATATCTATCCGTTCCCGAGTGTGAGGGGTGTCGTGGGCGCGTTACCGTCGGTGCGGGAGGCGCCGGCGTCGCGTCCGGCGGCGGCGGCGCGGCGCAGGCCGAGGCTGCGCTCGTAGTAGCCGGCCACCGACAGCGCGCCGCTGTACACCGCGCGCTTCAGGCTGTTGCTCGCGCGGCTCGTGTACCCCTCTTCATCCTCTTCCTCCATGCCGTACTGCGCCTGCATGGTGTTATTTATTTCTCATTCAAATGCCAAACTAAAATAGTTTGTCATTTGAGTTACTACAGTCACTAGACAATAGATATATTTAAATACATTTTTGTCTATAGATACATAGAAAACAGTCCTTCTAAAAGGAACAGATATACTGATGAATAAAGGAAATTTAAGACCCAGTATAAATAAATAATAATAACTATTAAATATAATGACTTGTACAACACAAAAGTTTAAAAACATCAAATTTGGTCGAATTAAATGTAGTATCTGTATGATAATACCAGTGGGGAACAATGGCATAGTAGCCATTTTTAGTTCGAAAAACGGATTTAGATGGCGTCATTGGTATCGAATGGAATTCAACATTGTTTTGTAATCGTTTAAAACCCAAAACTATGTTTTTAAAAAGGTTTAATCTATTTTTAAAAAGTCATATACAGATGTTAAAATGAAATAATGCGTTTTGAAAAGTAATTTTCATATATTTACTCATTTTGTTGTTGCCCTGTATTTGTTTACAATTTAATCATTGCTAATTGGGGCTTATTGTTTCCAAAAGACTTTCATAGATGGCGCTGTTTTCATTTGTATCACCGTATTTTAAATGTTTATTTTATATTTTCAAATAATAAGTACTTACTATATTATTATGATAAATTAAACATAAAAAAAGTTTAAGTAAATATAAAACAGCTAAACAAGAAAACCATATTATGCCAGTAATACTTATTTAGAAAGCGTTGCCATATCAAAAATAAATGCATAGATTACCGATTTTTTCGAATAATCGATAACAGGATATTACAACGCATTATTCGATGGTGCTTTTAATTAGTCTTTGCAAACAGTAAAATTTCATCATTTTGTATTATACTCTTATTTGGAACGAATTGCAATGCATAATTTTTACTCGACGACGGCAAAATAGAGAGATTTTGACAGGTATGCAAGTACTATATATTTATCTGTTCGCTCATAACTTCAAAACTTGAAGAGGGAAATATTAATTAGATTGATCTGATACAAGTGTACTCTATTATATCAACCTCCACGCGGTCACCCTGGTAATTATAGCAATTAATGACATTAGTGACATTGTTTTTCTATTAAAAAAATAAATACCTACTTATTGTAATTTAATGAATGAGAATTGAATGTGGTATAGAGTATATAAGGTCAGCTATACCTTTATGAAACCTCAATAAACAAGTGTTATATGGTATCTAAATTACTGACATTGATAGCTAAATATGAGGATCCTCGAATTTTTACAAATACTCTTAAGAAACTTTACAAATACTCGAATTTTGCTTTTGTAGAAGGATATTTTCAACCTTACTAAATTGTACAAGGTTTTGAAACGATAATCATTCATAATACTATGATATATTACTTATCCTAATACCTACTATTCATGATAATTAGTTTTTTAATATCTCCATTCGAGGGTAGGTTATTCATAATTTATATTATTAGATTTCATCACAAATAAAAATATCGATTTAAAATCGTAGGTTGGTCCATATTTTTTTATTATATCGAAATGACAACAAGTACTGGCAACATAAATGAAAGGTTAAAAATTTAAAATAGGAATAAAAGAATAGGATAAACGACTTTAAGTCAAATGCTTAAAACATATTTTCACTAGCATTGGATTTTTTCTCTTTTTTCATCATTTAAGTTAAGTAGGTACTGAACAATTCAACTTTTGAATTGTTCCTGTTCAGAGTTCATTGAACTTCTTATTTTTTTGTCAAACTCAATAATTTAAATGTGTCTAAGAAATACTACAAATATTTAGTAAACTATCGTGTCTTTGAGGATTATCTTATACCAGGTATAACTATAAGTTGTTAAAAACTTGCATATGTAGCGTGTGTATCTTTCATATTAAAATATAATAAACATATGTACTTGGTGACCGCTTTAATGTGGTATTATTATGTTTTTATTATTGTTATGAATGTAACTTCAAAAAACTAACACTGATTTTATAATTTTTGATTGATTGAGAAAATACTGAAAATTATTAATCAAAATAAAGTACTAAACAGTAGTATTATTTTTATATTTTATTAGAACTGAATGAATATGATGTATGAATAATATGTTTATTGTGCTAATAAGGTTACAGTTTAGTTACTTTCATGTAAATTCATTCATGTAAGTTCATGAAAATGTAACATAGGTATATGATATTGTTTTCAGATTTTCCTGACATCAACAACTTAATACTGAACAAAGTTTAAACAAATAAGAGATGATATTCTAAATCTCCTAGTCATTCAGATGAAGATAAATAACATTTTTACTGTGAAGAACAGGAGTTCAAAAGAATAAGAAATGATATATGTATATACATATGAACATTTTACTGTATAAAATAATAATGCAAGTAAAAATAAGAGAAAAAATCAGAAGAAAAATCTGTAAATTATTAATCACAATGCAATTAATAATATAATTAAATAAGTAAGAAAGCAATGCACTAGTGATGAGAAGAAATTCCAAGTAATTATATTATGTGTAACCGACTGCAAATAAGTTTATGATTTAAACACATGATTATTATTATATTGCTTCATCAACAAATCCAGGAATATTTTGTGTACCAGGAATTAATTATGAAATGATTGGAATATAATATAAAAATAACAGAAGTGTTTGAAGTTTTAGTGGTATAACAGACAAGCAGTGAAAGAAATATTATTGTAAATTATTAACAATTGTTTATTCTGTGATTAATAAATTATTTAAAAGTGTTTTGTTACCTGAAATAAAAATTTTATGATCTTCAAGTGTTGTGTTCATGCTATGTTAGTTTCACCTCATTCGATTTAAAATGTCAGGAATTATTTACTACATAATGATTTTGTATTAGATGGTAATCATATATATTTTTTAATGCAATGTGTATAATAATTCCCATTTACATCAAAAAACTTTGTGTAAATCTATATTTCTCTGTCTATAGACTTTGGTCGTGGAATACTAATAAGAAACTAAATCTAGAGACTGTAGTATATCACAGCATCCCAGAACCTTGTATTTAAGTCATATAAGGACTTAGTACCTACCTAATACTTGCTACTTTTTTAATCAATTAATTAATTTGATCTCAATCATCATGATGAACAATGATGATAATGTTGAGAATACTGCCAATGATGAATTTTATGGTGGTCATAAATAAATACCATCGTCACTATCGTCAACAGTCATTATTGATCTCATCATCATCACCGTTACCCTCCCTCATCCATATTGTCAAAAGTTACTACCTACTATTATTAACTGAAATGGTAAATAAGCTGACGATCCATCCAACCACGACGCTATCCGACGTACATACATACACATATATTATTAAACAGCATTACGTCATCATGTCGTGCCCGCTATATCCCGCATACGTTATCATTCCGGAGAACATAGATGTTATGTCCAAATATCCTGTAATTTCGCAGCTTAATTTCAACTGAATAACAACTTACATAAATACAAAAAAACTAGCAGTAAAGGCGTAGTTTGTAGATATCGAAGGTTCTACAAATAGGTATAACATCAAAATAAGTACCTACATGTCATTAGCACCGATGTAGTATCCTTGAAAGAACCTATACATATAACAGATTGATGGTTTGCAGATATTATTTTCAGTTTTACAAATTGCCAGTTTACCATAATTAACTATATATTGAGAAATAATTATACACTGAAAATTATATGAGGTACCCATATGCACATCAATTGATTATAGCTAAAATCTATCACTATCACATAACAATTTAAATAAAAAAAACCGTATTAAAATCGGGCTATTCGTTAAGGAGCTATTGCTCCTTAACCGATAGCCCGATTTTAGTGCAGACGCGTTACGACATATCTTCGTCGGGAGAAAAAAAGTAGGCATGTAAAAAAGTAACTGTAACATAGTACATAGATACATAGGTACATTAGCCGTGTCTGGAGACTGTCAGCGAACAATATTATACCTACATTGAATTTTCGATTGTACCCAATCAGGAGTTCGATACAGTTATATATCTATTATGTACGTATCTTTGCAAAACAGATGTCATGTAGACCGAATTCTCTGCCATCTATTTTCATGCTTTATTACTAATCACCCACTAGTAATCCGAACTGCTTCAGATATAGCGACATCTAGCGCCTACGGCGGCGAAATAAAATAGCCCGAAGAATAGCCCGAGTTAGGAAGGAACCATTTTCTTGTATGGGATGGGGTATCTGTATGTAATATTATATTATCTGTGATAATACAAAGGTATGGTGTAGTCACTCAGTCAGTAGTAGAACATCAGTATATTGTTTTGTTAGTAGACTATTTAAAGAACACAAATATATTTCTTACTCTCAAAAGTTGGAATTCATGTTCTTCTCTATTTCTCTGTGCTTCTCTTTCAGCCGCGGTGAGTGATGCTGCACCCTCTTCACCTCTCTCAAAATGTTCCTCTATGTGTTGAATCTAAAATAATATTGGATTAAATAGTACAGGTCAAAAATCTTAAAACTCACCTTATTTTATCATAATTTATTAAGAATGAAACTACCAATGTTTTGAAAAATAGATTATTTTTAATTCTGAGAAAGGTAGTCTTAAGAATTTTTTTATTATATTCAGTATTAAGTAAATCTGTTAAATAAATCTACATTTCCCTCTGGAAGTCACTGTGGCCAGTTCTTGGTGATGTCTTAACTCTTGACAATGAATGGGTTAAGTGACCTATTTCCACATCAACTTTTCATCCTTCAGTAATATACCATTAAAGAGGGGAAAGAGGATATTAGTACTGACTACTAGTGAATCCATTGTTAACTATACACCATGTTAGTTTGACTTCCACACAGCCCTCCTTGGAAACCATAATGTTTAGTTCTGGTGCATTTACCACAATGGGCTAACGGACCTGACCTCATACTCATCCTATCATCCTCCACTGGTATTCCACCAGCATATACCATCAGCTCAGGATGGTGAATCATTATTCCATTATCATCAATAAAGAAATAGATAATTAAAGCATGTGGGATTACCATCTCCCTATCATTCTTTTTAAAAACTTTGTATTTTTAATATCTGTTTTTTATACGTCAATTTATTAAAGATTTTTTTAAGTCATTGTGTTCCCGCTCCAGTCACAATTTTGGTATATAAGTATAACATACCAACTCATGTTGTGACAATGGCAGTGGTTGACAGCAAACCGGACAGTTGCTAACCGGACTTTCTTCCATCATAACCACATCCTCACAGGAGGCGTTGTCCACTTGATCCTTAAAACATATTCTTTTTTAATTTCTCAGAATTATTTACAAAGATACATAGAAATTTTAGTGTTTATGATAATACTGAATTGAGTGAATGATAATACTGAATTGACTCACAATAGATAAATTTAGATATATATATATATATATATTCAATGGGTGGTTTAGCAAATGAATTGTCTTGAGATATTATTATTATTATTAAATAGTGATAAAACAAATTCTATAATAAATAAAATATTTAGACCATGCATGTAACACTTTTACTATTTAGTACAGTTGCATTTATGAATACAGTGGTCAATCAGTGGGTTTATACTCAGAGGTTACTAAAATTTTAAATCAGGCTAGCAATATCATGTAAGAAATTATAGTTCAAAACCAAACTACTACTTTGTACTTCCTCAAAAGATTATCTATTTACATAACAATTTATATTGAAATCTGTTTAGCTGTTTAGTTGCTAAAAAGGTAACACAAACACATAGATACACTATCATATTTACAATAATTGTATGGATACAGTTCAATTCAGAATCTTATGATTTTAATAGTATGGCAGAAAATGAATGTATTGAATTTTAGTGATTTTAATACTCACGGATTTCTGTGGACTTAGAATATCGCGATGTTCAACATTAACATGAACTTCCACATCAGAACAGTTGGTAAAATCTCTTTCACATATAGGGCATTGATAAGACGAGCTATGAGGCCCTGGAGACAAAGCCATTGCGCTCAATCCCAACGTTGGATTCTCCAGGGTCAAAGTGGGATTAGTAACCCCAATAGTAGGGTTATCCGGGTTAGCATTCGCATTCCCCATCACGGACGGCGATGTGAGATCGAAATGCGCACGATTTATGTGCTCTTCTAATTTCTTTGGACATGTTGATGTGAAATCACATAAAAGACACTGAAATTTAATAGGTAATATTTTAATTTTTGTTTGTAAAATAACATACACTACACGTAAGCTCGAAAATAGTATTATATTAAAAATCGAAAAATAAGAAAATAAATTGTAGTTTGAATAAATTTTAACCCGCGCTGGTCACGAACGTTAGATGACACTTTTGACTTTGACAATTGTTGTCAAATAACCAATTTATTTTTTCGATCATACAAAGCAACGGAAATGTATGATGGCAGTTATATCAGGCTTAAAAATATTATTACTTCCACTTGAAATCACACCCACCTAGCACAGTTCTATTATAATTATTAAAATAAAATATATACAATACAAAAAATAAAAATAAAATACATACAAGTTATTTTCATGTACCTGTACAGTCGGGCTTGGTGTAGGTGCTGCTTTTTTAGGTGTATTAGGTTTTAGTTTTAAAGCTAATTGCGATCTTAATGGAGATCCTTGGCCTGCACTCGCCATTAACAACTGAAAAAATATTTACAGTTTTTTCATAAGTTAGACCTATAGATGTAATCACAATGAGGAAGCTGTTGTACAAAGTCGTCTGCATAGACATCCTTATCTTGCAGCCAAGTAGCTTCTTTCGTAAATTGTGTTTCAGATTTAGCATAGGTATCTTAGTCTCACCTATTTCTTACTGTTAAGTAATTTTCTTCAAGCTATGTTTCGGATTGAATCTTACATGTTTAAGTACAAAACAACATCATTAAGATAGTCTGAAACTGAGGTAACTTAGTTCATAGGAATGGCAATACATGATACTACTAAGAATTTCATGGTGGTCATTATTTTCTATTTTGTTACCTATGTCATGAATTGGTTATATAAGTAACAATTACATCTACCCATTTTAGACTCTTAGGCTGGATTTCAGCAATCGCAGTATAAACTAGTTCAAGGAAACTGAGATCAGCGTAAAATAGTTTTAGTTTCCTGCAATCGCCTAAAGCTATATCATTATCATCATCATCTGCTTCTTCCACATCCCCTTTATTTAAGGTCGGCGTAATATGTTTTATGTCGCCTAAAGCTATGTAAGTTATAGTTATATATACGAAATTCAAGTAGGTGTTTACCTTATTTTTATTAGGTGAGCCTTCATAACTACCGCTATTGTGGTGGCTCGGACTCGAATGTGCTCCTGCAAACACATATTTTAATATTATTGTTTCTTTAATCATGTCTAAGGAATATTTGTTTTTTTCTTTTAAAATTAAGGGACTTTTGTAGAAACTAAAAGTACATGCCAGTCCTATTGTACCCTAAAACTAATTACTCCATTTGACAATTTTACGATGTATGTATTCTTCATTTGGATTCGTCGTTCTATCTTTATTCAGAGATTTTTCATCTCTCCTAACTTAAGCGTGATAGCGACACTTTCAATTGAAATTTTGCCGTAAATACTTACGTTATGCTAAACTCGCCTTACTCTATTATTACTTATTACAGTAAATATACTCAAAATATTTTTTTCTTTATTCTAAAATTTTAATATAATACCAATGATTTGCACATTTATTAAATTTTTATACTGTTATTGATTGTTCATATGAATTAGTTAATAGGTCTTTTTTTGGTGAATATCAAAATTTGCAGTTACGTTTAATTCTAAAACAAACTTCTTTAAAGAAATTCTGACTAGTATGAAGCGTTGATATGCAGTTAGCATTATCTTATAGATCAAATGTCATCGAGTTTAGTTACTTATTGTATGACATTTTCACAATGCAGCCTTAAGTAGGTAAATAACAGAAAAAATTAAAATTAAAAATACTGTCTTACCTCTTTTCTCATGTCCATTGACTACATCCCCTTCATGGGAACCCTGTCGACTTTGAATCTTTTTAGGAACAACCCCATTACTAATATTTATATTCTTCAAACCGTTAGCAAGATTAATATTTTTCGGCGACCTCGTGCATCTATCGTCGTCTTTGTCATTTCTATAGCCATCCTTGTCTTGGTATCCATTATGGTATGAGTTTTTGGAAATGGCTCCATTATGGAAAGATGATGAGGTGTCGGGGCTGTGCCATCCGTTGATGGAACCTGGGGTATTATAACTACAGCTGTCTGTTGTCGTCATTTTTGAGTCATCATCGAAGCTGGAAAATAATAATAATAATGATAATTTCAAGACAATTCACACAGCGCCGTCTAGTCCCAAGTTAAGCTAGCTAAAGCTTGTTTTATGGGTACTAGATAACTGATACAAGTACATAGAATTTCTTTTTCGTAAATATATACATATTATATATAGAAAACACACAGACCGACACAAATAATCGTACTCATGAATACTAACCCTTGTGCCGTGGGAGGAATCGAACCCGCGACTATCGGAAGTAAAGAGGTGTGCTAAACCGCTAGACCACCGAGGTTGTCTATTAATAATATAGGTACCCACAAGATGGTTATAGAATTACATGTGAGTAGTTAAATTGTTGACATGAAATATTCAATCATAGATATAGGTTCCATGCTGAATAACAAAATGAATGGCAGAGGAAGCGGAACTGTTAATAAAGAGGAGTAAAAACTCACTGTAACCTCGTTCTCTCGTATGAAGTGAGACCTATACCCTACACTGTAGTACTGTGTTTTTTAATACATTATTTAATGTAATTGGAATAAACAATAGAAATAATCCTAGACAATTCTAACAGCACCGACTAATTGAAGGTTTAGCAGAGCTTATGTTATGGGTACTACTATAGTCAACTGATATTTTAAAATAAATACATATCTAGTATATTTACATTCATTCACATAGAAAACTACCAGACTGATATAAACAATAATATTCGTGAAAACGAATGTTTGCGCTAATAGATATATGTGAAGCAGGGTATTAATTATTTTAACCAAGTATTAAAAAATGCATTTTCGTTATTAACGGTTAATTAACCACATTTTATATTCGATACTTAAGTAGTTAGAGCCCAAAAATAGTTGACCACAAACAAAAGACAAATTAACTTTATAAAAGAAGTGTCAACTGAAAACTTTAAAACAAGACTTTCTCAATTCTAGAAACTACAAATGACTGGGCTATTTTAATTGAGACATATGAAAAGTATTATAAAATTCCAGAGCATGTAAGTGTTTCATCATCCGGGCCAAATATATTCCTATATTAAAAAAAACTACACGTTAAAAAGACAGATTCTTACCCTTTTTCTATGTCGCAATCGAATAACTAACCGTTAATAACCGCATTTTATCGGTAGCTAACCATAAATTTGGTTCAATAACTAACGGGGTTTTACAACTATATTCTGGGAACGATTTCGCATTCGCGGAAGACACTACAAAGTATACCTAAGTTAGAAGTCTGTTGCTATATTTTAGTTACCTGGGACTTTGATCGTCAATAAACGCCATCAGTTCTCTCTCCGGTGTCAAATAATGGAGGTGGGCTCTTTGGACGTGCCCTACCAGCTGTGGTTGGGGGACTGCACAGTCGCAGAACGGACATTCTGGTCTTCCAGCGACGTGTGCCTCTAGGGTATGTGAGCGCATGCCTTCGTCTGTTAAACCTTCTACGCCACATAACTCACAAGTATACGGAAATGGACTACTTGACATGTTTATTGCTGGAACAAGTTGTAATTATTTAACTACCTAACTCGGGTAACGTCGTTTGCATCACACTTACAATTAGATACATTATAAATTTCGATAAATTAACATAATCTATTTTTAAATTATAGCCTATGTGTTATTCTGATGTATAAGTTTCATCCAAAAGTCGTTCAGTAGTTTTAGGCGGCCGTGTTTGACATTTCAATAAGGAGAAATATTAAAAAATTCCTGCAATTCTTCGTTGAAAGCTAAGAAGCTCCGCTCCGCTCATCATCTCACACTTCAAACCAAAATACAGCATACAAAGCAAGTTGCTATTGTTACCAATAAGAGAGACAGAGAATAAGCACGCAGACGAATAAATACGAAAGTCTACGCATACCTAAAGTCTACCTATACGGCTCACCTGATGGTAAACGGTTACCGGAGCCTAAGAATGCATACTACACCAGTAATGTCACGTGCGCGTTGCTGACCCATTAATTTTTGTCTCTGGTAATATCATAGATATGATTTTTTCCAAGTATATATTTTCTTATATTTTTCGTATTGCAATTCTATCGAGGAGGGAAGGCGATTGTGAGTATTGTGGACTGTTAACCCCATTGATAGCAAAGTGCCATTGAAAATATGTACCTACCTAATGATTACATGTACACCGTGACGAAAAAAATAAGCTGCTTATTTTTTTTTAGTTTAATCGTCTTTATACTCGTTGTTGAGTTTCTGTATTTTTTGTTATAAAACTTATTAAATACCTTAACTATTAATAAGTTTTATAAAAAAAAATACAGAAAATCAACAACGAGTATATTCTTCTTTCAATATTTTTATGTTAAATAAGACAATTATATTGTAAACTTTGCGAATATATTTTTGGAAAGTCTAAAATCTTGCTTAGTTCACAATACCTATTAGTTTAGGTAACTATTAACTTATTTTTAAACGTATCGTATTTTTATTATTAATTCCAGATATTATTTCAGATATATAGAAGCATAAAACTAAAAAATATTTCTCTGATATTTAATTTACAGATAAATAATTAATAAAAAATAAAAATCTTACCCTTATTGAGACAAATTCCATTTACTATTACATTTAAATTAATGTAGAACAGTTTGATATAAACTATAAAATGTATTACCTATACCTACATATATAATATAGTGACAAAATGACAAACAGCTGATAAATAATGCAAGTATAAAAGTTTTAACAAATATAATTCTATTCGTATATCCTTACATCGATCCATCAGAAGCTATCCTTGACCTTAATGACAATGTCGACAAATCACAGCTCGAACCACAAAAATTGGTTTACTTCATAATGATGTTCGCATGGAAACCATTCATAATGTGCTATACATACTTAGGTACTGAAGTGAAGGAGTCAAATCGATAAAATTACCGCAGTTTTGTTTTCAAGGAAATTAGACACTGTCTGAGATTATCCGGGATTCGATTGCAATAATTAGAATATTTTAAATATTTATCCGAGTAATTAACTGTATAGAAAATGTATCTTGTACGTTAAAATACTGTGTTCTTAAAAAAAACATTGTAATACTTACGTTTTATTTTTTATTGTCAAATTTTAGCGGGAAATTCGCCGCTAGTATATCACAACACTACCTAATTGGTTCGTCACTATTATTATAAGGGATTTTAACTAACATTTTCTAACATTAATATAAGAATTTATTTATTACTACAGACGATCAGTTGTGAACGAACGCCATTCATGAATTTCGTGAGCATTGAAGGCTAAGGAAGTTTTATACGCATGCGGAAGCTAGCGGCGATTGTGGCGCACCTAGCGGGTAAAGTATGAAATTATTTAGTACAATTATTTTCTCCACCGAATTTATAGTTTATTTCATTTTAGTACATAAGAAAATAATGAATATTGAAATGTATTTAATTATTGTTGTTATATAGAATTACTCTATCAAGTGAAATTAATATCCATAGTCGCGTAAAATAAAATTTCATTTAAAATCATTACGCCATCTGGCGTCAATTCTAACGTAATACGTTTCTGCAAATTTTCAGCAGTTCCTAGCTACTTGAAAAGATGGTGTTCTGGACTGTAAAGGAGTTATCAGAATAATGAACAATAAGTTAATTGTAATTATATTAGGGGATGGAGGATGTGGTTGTTAGAAATAGGAACTTAGTGATAGTTTGTAATGTTATGTTATCTGTAGTGGTACCAATGAGTACCGTAAAAGGTTGATCTTCACTCTAGAAATTACAGTGGTTAAGTCGCTGACTTTTTATATAAACTGACTGCCATGACTTCATGTGAATACTTTAATTCTTTATTGATGGTGGTGTAAGACAACTATAATAATATTTGGTGCAAAAAACATATTATACAGATTTCTTCTAAATCAAGGAGTAATAAGTTTCTAATATTATATTTAAAAAAATCCACATTTGTTCACTACAATATGAAAGGGTTGATCTACTCAGTGAAGAATTTACTCAACGGGCAAAACTATATATTAAAAAAAAAATATTTTTTATTTGGAAATAAAACCAATTACGATACTATCATTATTCAATTTGTAATAGCAAAATATCTGACGTTATTCTCGGGGGCGGGGATACTTGCAATGTGACCAGCTTTCTTATTAAAAAACATGAACAATGTAATCTATGACATAATTATTCCCATACCTACTTAGTTATTAAAAAGTATTATTCTATTACACTACGACGTGCGGCAAGTCCAGTAATCCACTATCCTATGATTATTCAATTTGCCAGCAAAAAAGCAAGGGAAAATGCTGCATGCATAAAGAAAATACGTGAGCGAAGGAATGTGTGGTCTTCAGATGTCCGTTCTCTTTAGGGTTGGCACTCGGTTGAATCTAGCTATTGATTAAAAAATATTATTTGAAGAAAAAAAAACTCTCTCGTACCTAATATGAATTTCAGTGAACGGATTGATGATGATAAAACTGACGTATCCTAATAGTCTCTAGATGACACTTGCTTCTTGCAGGATGTTGTTATATGTCTGTCTAGATATAAAAGAAATTCAAAGTTAAGAAATGGATAAATATAATGATGAACTATTTGGAAGCAGAGGGATGTTTTCTAGATTGAAATGTGGTCTTACCGGTCGACTTAGTATGTGAGCATGTTATGCTGAGAAGCGAGGATCGTGTCTGAAGATCGTGTGTGAAGAAATGAAAATCTAACATGAAAGTCGATGGATAGAAAGCAGGGGATGACCAAAAAGAGATGGATGGATTGTGTGTAAGACGATATGTTTGAAAGTAGAGTAAGCTCAGATGTGATGGCTAATAAAGATCAGTGGAAGATGACAAACTGCGTCAACCCCAAATAATGGGATAAAAGCAAGGCAATCATGCTCATGGGATGAGAGAGCCTACCTCCATCTTTCAGATTTTGCTTCATATTTTGTTATCCCTATTTCGCTCACTGCTGACTCATTGGGAAGTATGAATTGACACACAAATAAACTTTTTTTATAGTATACGAATAGTAAACAAGCTGACAGTCCACCTATTGGTGAGTGGTAACCGTCACCTGAATGCAAGAACAGCACTTCTATCATCTCTTTGACACTTCAAGTCCGTCCAGTCAATACCAATAATGCGTAGATATGGAATTTATAAAAAAAATACACTATTAATCTATAGTTTTTACCTTAGCCGTCGACAAGACGACCCCTGCCAATGTAGGGGTTGGTTTAAAAATTCCATTTTAACCCAATGTATTTCTGTACGATTTGTAAATAAACAAACAAGTGGCAGCCTTAGCATGGCAGACACGTTGCATATAGAATGGTTATTTATGCAAATCGCGCCTTGTCAGTCAAATAAAATAAATATTGTTGCAATTTTATTTTCGCTGGATATCCCCAATGTTGGCTTTGAAGCGAACCTGCAACCTGCTTGATTAAACGAGGTTTCCTATCTATTACATATACATATATATTTATGTATTTATTTATATACATTTTACTTTAGATCACTTGGATCACGAGCGTGCATGGCAATAGTTGTTCATACACGGGATTTTCATTTAATGTTAGACATAGATAACTATATAAATATACATTGTAAATAATCTGGCTTTAAAAAAAAAAGAAATTCAATTTAGTTTCTTTTCTTTCTCTTCGTAAGGAAAAATTATAATATAAAAAAATTTAGGTACGTTCATAAGCGGCTAAAATGTCGTGAAATAACGTGAATTTTTGAATTTGAATACATATACATATTGTCATCTGTGATTAAACAGTTCTTTCATATTGCTTTCTACGATTTCCTAAAATATGGTTGAGTGCAGTAATGACTGAATCGCCCGTTATACTCATGAACGGGTGCTCATATAAGGTCTGCTCTACTGGCTCTACTAACTACGACTGATTTATTTTGTAACTCAAGTAACTATTTATTTATTTATGTCAATTGTTCTCTTATGTAGTTTATATTCACACAAAATTGATAAAAATTATAAACAACATATTTAGAAGAGCAACACACATTTTTATTGTGATGAATCTGCGTTCAGAATAAGTAGTGGAATAAAAAAAATACGACTATTCAAAAGTGCTTATATTAAGTTTATTTGAACAAAGATTATTTCTATTTCTATTTCCATCCATATTTTCTGTCATCTGCATCCATTTGTAGAATGGAAATATTTAAATAAGTAGTTCTGTGTAGTGCTAGATTAATTTCGCGTGGACGCGTCCATTTTTCTCTGTAGAATCTACATTTTGCGGAGAGAAGCGAAGGATTGATATCCGAATGAGCGGTAGATTAAAAAAAAGTAATGACTATTCAAAAGTGCTTCAATGTAAGTTTATTTGAATAAATGATTTTCTATTCTATTCTATTCTTTCTATTCTATTGTCATTATATTTTATACATTCGAGATGCCTTTGAGCGAAATATACAGTGATCTATTTGGCACAGAGTGAAGATGGAGAGTATTAGATAGATGAATAATTTCTGGTAG